CTCACTTTGTAGCCCAGGCTGGTCTGGAACTCACAACGATTCTCCTGCCTCAGCCTCCCTAGTGCTAGGACTACAGATGTGTGCCTCCATGCCCAGCTGAGATTGCAAATAATTGTTTTGTTTTGTTTTGTTTTGTTTGAGATAAGGTCACTAGGTAATCCAAGGTGGCCTCAAACTTGCAATCCTGCCTTTCACCTCTCAGAGCGCCAGGGATTATAGGCATATGCCCACAGGCCCTAAAATATCTATTGTTTCTTTCAGGAACTTATTGACAAGTTATTTAGCTGAAAAATAGCTCCTCAATTAACCCTCAAGAGAGGTTACTGTTGTATTTTAGAACAGGAAAACATCATTAAATATACAATCATAGCAACAAATACTGACAGGACTCTGGGACTTTGTCTTTTTGTCTGTGAATCTTTGTATCTGTTGCTGTTTTCCTCAAACCAAAGTGCATAAAGGGGAAGCTTGTCCTGGGGACATTATTAACACTCTCTTTTGAGTCAGACAAGATGTCCACCCTATTTATTCAAAATCCCTGGTGAGTTTAATTTGCCAAAAGGTTTGACAGCGAGGACTGGCTGTGATCCCAGTGCTTCCCATATGTCAATGAATACAACCTGTAGGGACAAGGATCTAACAAAAGATATGTGAGAAAAGCCAGGCATGGTGGAACCTGACTGTAACCACAGCAATCAAAGCCAGCCTGAACTATACAGTGAGATCCTATATAAAAAAAACGGGGTGGGGGTGGGATTTGAAAAGCCTGCCATGGTGGTGCTTGCCCAGTACTTAGAAGACTGAAGCAGGTGGACTGCAAATTTGAAGATAGTCTGGGCTACATAGCGAGACTCTCTTTTTTTTTTTTTACATGGTATGACTCTGTCTCAAAAAGCCAAAAAAAAAAAAAAAAATAGCTTCCTTCTTTTTTTTTTTTTGGGTACTGGGAATCGAACTCAGGACCTTGCACTTGCCAGGCAGGCACTTATGCCACTGAGCTATATCCCCAACCCTACATAGCAAGACTCTTTTGCAGATAAACAAGCATGTGAAGCCCATATAGAGTATAACATAAACCAGCAGTTACCATCTTCTAATGTACCACAGAGAAATATTTATTACTTATTTATTACTTTTTTTATTGTTTTTTTGAGACATTGTCTTGCTGTGTAGTCCAAGCTGGCCTTAAGCGCACCATGGAGCCCAGGCTAGCCTTGAATGTGTGGCAATCCTCCTGCCTCAGCCTCCCAAGTGCTGGGATGACAGGTGTACCACCACCTAGGCTATTTTCTTTTTTTTGCAATACTGGTTATTGAACTAGGCTTGATCCTATTGATCCTGTTGCCTCAGCTTCCTGAGTCCAAGGGTTACAGGGATATACCACCAAGCATGGCATAAATGTTTTTTTCTTATTATTTTTGGTGATTGGGCTAGAACTCAGAGCTTTATGCATGCTAGGCAATCATTCTACCACTGAGCTATAACCCCAGAAAATGTGCAAGACTGGTAAAAGTTGCACCTCCTTATGATACATAAATAGACTAGAAACTTCTGGACACTTTTTTTTTTTTTTTGGTCTCTTTGAGACAGGGTCTTCCTATGCAGTTCAGGCTGGCCTTGAGCTCACTTTGTAGCCCAGGTTGCTCTCAAACTCGCAAGGATCCTCCTACCTCAGCCTCCTGAGTGCTGGGATTACAGGCAGGCACTACCATGCCTGGCTTTGGACAGTTTAAAAGGGTATATTATACAGTATGTGAATTATATAATAATGAAAATGTACAAGAGAAGTACAGATTCTGGTTGGCTTGGGCTGAGCGGGTTGTGGGGACTCAAGACTTTCACAGGTAAAACCTGGAAAGTTCTGGGCAAACCAGGACACATTGACTAGCCTGGGTAGAGTTTCTTTTAAAAGCTGTTTTGGGTGAATAACAGCAAAAATGTTTGAAGATATGGACAGTTTTCACATCAGTGCATGACCCTGTTAGCAAGAGGGCCTCCGTTTGGGGAACCTGGTCACTCCCTCCGTCATTTCCTACCTAGTGTTAAAGGACAAAGGGTGTATACAGAGTTCTTAAAAGTAGTGTCAGACTCTGGAACCCTCTGTCCTGAGTCCAGCTCACTCACCACCACCCAGCAAGTCTGTCTAATGCCGGGCATGGTGCTGTAATCCCAGCACTCAGGAGGCTAACGTAGGATGATCGACGCAAGTTTGAAGCCAGCCTAAACTACATAGTTTAAGGGCAGCTTGGACTACATAGCGAGACCCTGTTTAAAAAAAAAAATTTTTTTTTTTTTGATGTCCAGCCTTCCCGCGACTATCTGGGCTGTGTTCTCCACGAAGTTGACAAGGTGGAAAGACAACAGAAAGGTCCATAAAAATAATAAACGTCGGTCGGGCGCGGTGGTGCACGCGTGTATTCCCAGCTACTCCGGAGGCAGGCTGAGGCAGGAGGATCACAAGTTTGAGGCCAGTCCTGGCAAGTTAGCAAGACCACGCCTCAAAATTAAAGAGCTAGGGCTGTAGCTCACTGGTAAGAGTGCTCCTTGGTTTGACCACCCCCCCGCCAGCACAGAAAAAAAAAAATTAATATCCACAACCCTTCCAAAGTACAATCGTGGGTGGGATCTGAGAGCTCCAAGGCTAACGGAAGAAGCGGTGTTGACAGTCTACCTGGTCACTTACGTGATGCGACGCCGGCAGGCAAGCAGGGCACTTTACCTCGCACACAGGGTGTGCTCATTTAAAACCCCAAAACCGAAAAAACATCTTTTCTCTAGCATCCCTGTAGACAACCGGCCACTTGACCCAGTTCCCTCCGGGACTAAATGAGACTAGCATACAGAAGGGTCGCAGGAAATGCAGGACAGTAGCAACTCCTGTCGCAGCTCCTGGAGCTCCACGCAGTCATCACTCTGCCCAGCCTTGCACATCTGGGATCCAGTGCTCTGGTGAGGAGCGCGAAGCTCTAGGAAGAGCCGGAACCTGGAAGCGGAGCCCCGCAAGAGCCGGAGGAGACCCGCCGGCGCGCGACCCGGGAACTCTATTTCCCACAGGGCCCGGCGCTAGACTCTACTTCCCACAATTCCTTTCTACTTCCGGTGCGGCCAAGGAACCGTGGAAGGCTTCCGGGTTTGGGCCTGGTTGTAGTAGAGGCGGCGGTGGCCGAGTGGGACGGGGAGCAGCTGGAGCTGGACTACCGGCATGGACGTTTCGGGGCAGGAGACTGACTGGCGGAGCGCCGCTTTCAGACAGAAGCTGGTCAGTCAAATGTGAGTAGGGGCCGGAGCGGATAGCGGGATGACCAGACCTCCCGTGCTCGCGCGGCGGGCGAGGCCAGGGATGGACCTGGAGTAGGACCCCCGGCGGGGAAACCCGGCAGGGTCTTGAGGGCGCCCCTGGCCCGCGTGAGTTCTAGGGCGTGGCCCTACCCGGCTGTCCCCTTCGTTGTCGGCGGACAGGGACTGCTTGTTAGCTTTCTTAGGGCCGAACTCTGGAAACCAAGGAGCACTAGCCTATGAGTCATCGTCCTGAGCTTTCTCATCCGTCATTTGTGTGCCTTGGGTGCCGACTTTCCCCGGCTTTGGTTCGCACGGAATACGGAGAGGGAAGGAAGCCATCCATAGTGGTTTCCTCTGGATGCTTTGTGGCACGTCAGGGTGAGAGAAAGCAATTGGAAGAGGGTTGATGGAAGATGAATGTGGGAGGTGTTTGGGCTCTGAACCGAAGGGACGGAAGATCTAACGGAGTGTGAGCTTGTCTAAGGGGTAGCGGGAAGCGGCTGTCAGGAAGCGATCGTGGATTCTGGAGGAGGGAGGGAAGACCTTGGATTGACGCCCCTCCCAACGGAACTCCAGCTTGTCCACTGCTTGTTTCATTTAGTAGTTTTTACTGAGCTTACTGTCCTATTGTGTTCGTCACCAAATTGCCTGAGATAGCCCCTGCCCTGCGCGATGACACTATAGGTTAATGAACAAACTCAATACGGTATTGCCAGTACTCTCAGATGTTGTGGGTGCGGGGGTGTGGGGGGCTTCCTGCAAAGAGAGCTTGAGCAGGCCAGGAGCAGCCTTGAGGAGTAGGAGTGTGAAGGACCAAATAGGTGATCAGAAAGTGAGAGCACTTACTGCATGAAGGACCTTCGTTGTAGGCTGAGTTCTGACGTTAGGGAGTAAGGAAGTTCAGGGATTATAATGGAATGAAGGTGAGCAGGTGCTAGCACGTCTCTAGTGGGTGTTGTACTAAGGAATTGAGCCTGTATTTGGCATGTGGCCTGCTTTGAGTTTGTGAAATGCCAGTGTTAGGAAGATCTTCGAGGTCCCTGGAGATGAATCAAGGGCTTCGAGACCAGTTAGGCCATTTGGGGATTTTTGAGCTGTTGGGGCTTAGGGAACTGTCCCTTTTCATCCTTATGTTTCCACTGCTAGATCTCTGCTTTATCATGTTACTTCCATAAAATCGTCGTGGGATGGCTGGGCAAAAGATTATAAAGGCCTGCTTTAGACCATGGTAGAAACTGAAAGAGGAAGACAGATTCTAGAGAAAGGGGAGAGTGCAGACAGTTCTTGATGACTAACTGGATGGAGGGGGTGGGGTGAAGCAGTGTGGAAGGAAGGAAGCTGGGCTGAATGCTGGGAAATCACAATGGAAGGAATAGAACGGTAACATTAGTGGCTCTGCGCACTGCCATGGAATAGCATCTAGACGACTCTGGATATTGCAGAATCAGTGAGCAGTGTTTTGTTGATATACTTGAGTTATCTCTAGGTGAAATCTTGAAGGATAACTCACCTGAGGACTCTTGCTAGGAAAGCCTCTAGGGCAAGGATTCCTCTTTGGGAAAGCCTGGTAATGGAGAACCAGAAGAATGTGTTGTTATCACAAGGCAGTGGGGAAAGGTTGGAAAAGTGTCATAGGGCTGGAGGGAAGATTGAAGAGTTTTGAGTATTTGAGGCTGACCAGGTATTTCATAATTCACCTTCCTTGTGTTTCCAGGAGAACTGAGTTCTTTTTCTTTTGCATTATTTTACTGTTGCTGTCATAGCAAATTGCCGCACATATTGCACCTTAAAACAACACAGATTTAGCCAGAGTGGTGGTGCATACCTGTAATTCCAGCATTTGGAAGGCTGAGGCAGGAGGATTCATGTGAGTTCGAGGCCAGCCTGGGCTACAAAGTGAGTTCAAGACCAGCCTGAACTGCATAGCAAGACCTTGTCTCAAAAAAAAAAAGTTTTGTTGCTCACTCATTTCTGTAGATCTGAGTTTCAGGTAAGCTTAATTGAGTTTCCTGTTTCAAGTCTTACACAGCTAAAATCAAGAGTTTGACACGATGCATTTTTTGCCAGAGGCTCTGGGATGTAATCTGTTCCCCGACCCATTAAGGTTGCTGGCCAGATTCAGTTCCTTGCACTGTAGAAAACTAAGCTTCCCTGTTTCTTGAATATTTGCTAAGGGTAATTTGGTCGTTTTTTTTTGTTGTTGTTCCTAGAGGTTATTTCCTTCTCATACTTCCTATGTGCTTCCTTTTAGCACCATCCAGTTCTTTTACCACATCTCTGACTTCAGCCAGAGAAAATTCTCTGCTTTTTTCTGCCCAGGTTACAATAGTGCTCACTCTGGTAACCCAAGATTATCTTTTTAAAGTGTGTATCCTTAATTGCACTTGCAAAGTTCTTTTGTCACATAATGTAGCATATTTACAGATTCCAGATATTCACAGTTTCCGGATATTAGAGGCTGCATCTTTTGGGGAGGGCAATCTCCTACCCCAACTGGATGAGTAGTTTCAAAGGTTTCCTTCTTTTTTTCTTTTTTTTTTTTTTAAGACAGAGTCTCGCTTTGCAGTTTAGGCTGGCCTTGAGCTCACTTTGTAGCCCAGGCTGGTCTTGAACTCACAATGATCCTCCTGCCTCTGCCTCTGCCTCTGCCTCTGCCTCCCGAATTCTGGGATTACAAGGGTGCAGCACCACGGCTGGCCAAGGTTCCCTTCTTAATGTGATGTGGGTGTTTTCAGTTCTCAGGTTCATCTGTTTTCTCTCTAGGTTTCACTTTCCTAGTGCCTTGGTTTATTGTGTTTACAGGGTTAAAAGAGAGAATTTGTAATTCTAACTTGAGCTGGTGTTTATGCTGTTGTTGGCCATTTTGGGAAGTGCTTTGAACCAAAGTGTTTTATAGTTGATGAGGAAATAAAGAATAGAGCTGGGGATGTAGCTCAGTGGTAAAATGCTTGCTAACATGCGCAGAGCCCTCTGTTTGATCTCCAACAAATAAATAATTTTTTAAACCAGGTGTGGCGGCACACGCCTGTAATCGCAGCACTTGGGAGGCTGAGGCAGGAGGACTCTTGCAAGTTTGAGACCAGCCTGGGCTACAAAGTGAGCTCAAGGCCATCCTGAACTGCATAGTGAGACCCTGTCTCAAAAAGACATAGCAGAGAACTAGAAGGTTTAAATTGAAAGTGTCTGTCAATTTGCTGTCTCCATCTGCCTCTTGAGGATCTACTGAGTCTAGGACACAAGGCCACAGACCATGGGATAATCTGGCCTTCCGACTCCCAGTAAGAAAATCTAATTTTGGGTTGGGCTGGTTAGGAGAACCCTAACTAGACAGCCTGTGGGGAGAATCTTTTTGTACTTCTTAGTTTTCCTCCACTCCATTTACCTGTCTAGGTCTTTCCTGGGCTGCCCCTGCCACTCACTATCTTCCTAGCAGGTCCTTCCTTCCCCAGTAGCACAGGTGAGGGTGATGTGTAGTGTGTAGCCCCCCCAGGCTCGTGCCACTGCCCATCAGTGACTTCTCTTAGTATTAAAATAAAATTCCAAGCAGTCCCATTCTCTTGCCCTGGCCTGGTTTATCTTGCACTTCCCACTCTGTTCTAGCCTCTCTGATCCTTCTACTGCTTAAATATTTCAAGCTTTTTTTTTGCTGGTACTGGGACTCAAACTCACGACCTTGCGCTTTCCAGGCAGGTGCTGTGCCGCTGAGCTAAGTCCCCATCCCCTGGTTCACTTTTTCTTTCTTTTTTTTTTCCTTTTAGGTGCCAAGAATTCAACTATACTTAGTCTTGCTCATGCTAAGCATGCCACTGAGGTATACTCTCAGCCCCCTGACCTTGCCTTTCTTCTTTTCCCCTTCCCTCCCCTCTCCACCCCTTCTCTCCCTTTTTCTCCCCTCTATCCCTTCTTCTTCTGTCTCCTCCCCTCCCTTCTCCTTCCCTCCAACGACTAAACATTAAACCCAGGGCCTCAGGAATGCCAGGCAAGTAAGTGTTCCAGCAGCACTGGACTATATCCCCAGTCCTTTTTTATTTTTTACTTTGAGACAGGCTCTCACTAAATTGGCTTTGAACTTGCAATCCTCTTGCCTTAGCCTTACAAGTCCCTGGGATAACAAGCATATGCTACCACACCCAGCTTGTTCTCTTTTTTTATTTTTTATTTTTGTTTTTTGAGATAGGGTCTCAAAATGTAGTTCAGACTGTCCTTGAATTCACTATGTAGCCCAGGCTGGCCTCAAACTTGTATTCCTCCTGCCTCAGCCTCCCAAGTGCTGAGATTACAGGGATGCGCCAGCACACCTGGCTGTTCTCTTTTTAAAACAATGTATTATCAAGTATATGAGCAGCTCCTCTTTAGATATCTGCTTCTATATTAAATACTCAGGAACTTCCATGCCCCCCTGCCTAAAGGGGGGTCACTCCTTTAGATACAGCTTATTTATTTATTTAGCTAGTTAGTTAGTTATTTGTGGTACTGGGGATTAAACCCAGGGCCTTCATATTGTATTGGGTTAATATTACCCTTAGTTATTGTGGACTAATCAGGTCCACAATCTCCCAAATGAGTGGACTGCGAAGGCTAAAAAGAAGAGACAAATGAAATGATTTCAGGGCTCCAGGAGGATCAGCCGAGATTCTTTCAGGGGCTAAGACCAAGATCTTCTCTGGATGGCTGGCCCATATTTATTTAGTTATCAGAACAAGGGAGGGAGAGCCATGTTAACTCCTGGAAGGTCTCCACCCAGGAGTGAGATGCCTGAGGCTACAGTCTTTACCTATTGAGGTTGGAGCCAGGTGTCTTTAGCTGTGGCTTTGTCTTGTCCTTTGAGGCTCCACCCACCATTACAGGCCTCAGTAGGGACCAGTGACTCACAGAGGTTAACTTACTATGAGTTTGCCGCCCATCTCCAGACAAGGGACCTAGGTTTTGGACAAAGTCACAAGTAAACATGGGAAGCCATCTATTAGTTAATTTAAGTCCTGCTCAGGGCT